AATCAGCAATTTTTATTGGCTGATCAATATCTAAATCACCTGCATAAATCTGTACAAATATGTGCGGAAATTAACGGAAAAAAATTGCCGAATTCTGGACACCCTAATCCTGAGGCCCGTGGTGGACATACTTTATGGGAGGCTCTCGCCTAATGCTTAAATCAAATCCGAAAATATATAATTTATCAAACGAAGTATTTTATCTAGATCTTTCATCAAGATTCAATACTGAAAATCACCATTTGGGACCCCCACAGCAAAAGGGTGCAAAGAGCCAAAAAAAAATTTTTTTTCTAAACTCAATTTTTTGAATTGAAACGAAAAAGGTTAATATTGATTTTGAATTATTCATTCTAAGTTCATTAATTAAAATCATTCGATTTTCATATTTATATTAATTTTTATGCGATTTAGAAGCTGCAGTTCTTGGAGGATCTAATCGATCTTGATCGGTGGAACGCAGTTGAATCTATCAACGGTAAATTGGAGCGCTACGGACCAAATAAATTTGAATGCTACAGATCAATTTATTTACATTAATGGAACTGCTCCTAAAATATGGACGAAACTTGAACAAGGAGTTAAAGGAATTCAACCTTCAAGACGTAGATCAACTTCAACAGTAATCAAACCTAATGGAACAATATATATATTTAGCGGGAGAATAGAAAATGATATGGGTCAGATACGCTTATTTTATATGAGTAATATGGATTTGATACAATATTATTGTCATGGAATCAAATAGTGGCAGGCAATGCTTCCTCACCTCGAAGCCATAGAGCCGCAACATTGCTTCCAAATGGAAAAATTATTTATATTTCCGGTGTATCTCATGGAAGCCAGACTAATTTAATCATCATGACGGAGGTAAATTATCATTATTTACGTATATGTTTATCGTTATATGCAAAATATTTTTGTAAATTTATTGTAGATACGAATTTTGATACTGTTTCTTCATCCCGGTCCTTGCATGTACGTATTTTCTTAACAATTAATTCTTAATACATTGAGCGTATAGTATTTATGTATAATTAAAATTATATTTTTTATAGACTGCAAACACTCCGTTTCCAATCCAACCACGAGTTGGACATATAGCAGTATTAGCACCTGATAATAATTCAATTATTATAATGGGCGAGACTTCAAGTTATTAATCAAACAACCGTTTATCCGAATTTACTAAAATTGGATGTTAGATCCGAACATTATCAATATTATATATTACAAACTTTTGGGTAAAATCAACCACCTCCACTATCCTTTCATACTGCTAACATATATTTGGAGTATATGATTTTTTGTTATGCAAAATAACAAATGATGCAACCGATTCAAATGAAACCAGTTCAAAGTTCTTTTTGTTATACATTCCAGGCTTATCTTGGGAAAATATATTTATTTCTGGTAGATCCAACTGTTAGAATAAAGATTATAATCTTGGATTGATTATTGCTATCGTTATCCCTGTTGCTTGCTTAATAATTATTGGTACATATTATACAGACGTAGGACTGGAAGGTGTAGAGATTTAGTTTGCTTTAATAATTGTCATAAAAATGAACATAGTAGAAATCAAAATCCTGATGAACAACCAAGATAACCTGATAGGCAGAATTGCATAAAAAAATTTATTAAATCATTATAAGAACAAATTCGCATACCATTTCATACACCTATATTTTGCATATCATATTGCAATTTTTACACAGTTATATTCATTTGAATAATTTATAATATAAACGTTACTACTGTCAGACTCTCTATAGTCACCTTCTATATAAGCACTTCTCTCTATTAGCATACCTATTTTAAAATAAGCTATTAAAATAAATTCTCATGTAAGTACAACATTTTATAAGTACATTTTACTCTCAGATATTGCCATTTTTTTCAGTTATTTTCAGTTATTTTCATTTTTTATTCATTTTGATTTTTTGTTTTTAATTTAACCTACAAGATATAATATTAGAAAAAAATTATTATTAGCGTTTGAAATTGATTTTATGTTTACGTTATCTCCTCAAATTAGATAAATAGAAGTAGCAAATCAATATAAATTTCGACATGTAGCCAATTATCAGTCCAAACTTTTCGCTATGCTTTATATTTATTTTTGTGACAATATTGTACGTGAAATTAGAATGGGTGTGGATTCAAAATTGAGTTGCATCAGATTGAAATTTGAGTCGGAAATGCGTACGATTAAAATAGAAGTTTTGAGTCAAACTAGATTGACAAGTTTTATAAGTGATGCTAAAAAAAAAAATCAAACCTGGCTTTTAAATTATATAACTTGCCAGACTCAATGCTTCAGATTTCTTAGGATTTAAAAGCCGAAGCTGAAGTCTGGTTTGCCTTTGGCGTACTCATGCTGTATAATATGTGATCAAAATATTTTAGCTTGTGTTGAAGTTTACATCTTATATCGTAACTAGTTTGAATGATTTTCTGCCACATGTATGTATTGTATGGTTAAAGCAGGGAAAATAGTAAGTGCTCTAAATTACATACAGTACATTTCGTTCGATTTCACACCACCAAATTTTAGCGTTGCTTTTTTGAGTGTTAAAATAAATCTAATTTCAAACATTTAATCGATAGCGAAAAGTAAAAAAAAGTATGTGGTGTGGTATTAATGGGATAAAAAAAGAACTTTAATTTTCATAATTTCTGATCATTTTGTGCTTTCTTATTCCATACGAATACTTTAATAGTTGTTAAATTTGACATGCAGTACACAATTAACTGTTTTTATTGACTTGACGCATCTCAGAATCGAATTTCATTCTGACGCAAATTTTAAATGCACGACTCTTTAGGGTGATCATCATACTAGTAAAATCAAATCATATTTAAGGATTTTTTACCGGCTTTCTAAATAACTTCGGAAATTTCGGAAAATTTAACTGCTACTTATTATTTTCTTTATTTATCGAACAACTCATTAAACGGTGAAAAATTTATCACTTATTATTTTCTTTATTTATCGAACAATTCACTAAACAGTATATTAGCTTCTATTTCACCAAACGTTACCTGTTTTTTATTACCTTGTTTTTCATTATCTTGCTCATTTAATTTTCTTTTATTTTTTCTTTGTAATGCCAATTCTTCATTAGATAGAGAAACTTGCTTGACACTTGAAAGATGAAGTTTAGCTTTTTTAGTTTCAATATCCATGTTCATATGACATTTAAGGTCATACTTATTGAACAAACCCTTGACCTGTTGTTGATGGATAACTATATAATAAATTCAACATTTGATGAATTCATATAGTAAAGGAAAAGCGTGAATCAGTTTGTCAGAATTAGCAAAGCTAAGTAGTTCTTCCATAAAAAATGGATCTTCTGTTGCTTGTAGTAAGCCAAAATCATTAGAATTAGATTGTTTAATATCTAATTCTAAAAGAATTGTATAACACAACTCTTTGAGACTAGGAACTTGATTTCGTTGCCTTTTTAATCTTACATATATATAACTTCTAGCAAACTCATGGTCATATTTACCACCTAATCAACACACGCTTAATGGAAGATGAAGCCACATACTCATCCACTTATCCAAAGAATTTATGGCCTTATCAATGCCAGCTTCTAAATTATTAAAAAAATTTCTAAAATCTTCTTTGTCAAAAATATCAACGGCATCACATAATTCGTTGTTAAAAAGAGAACAAATATTATCTCTAACTCTATATAAATTTCCAATCCATTTAATAACTGCATCAGGCATTTCGTGGGCTCTTTAACCAGGTAAAAGTGGTGATAGTTGACCGTCAGGTTGAAGAATTTGTGGTTCTTTATCGGATTCAATAAGAAAATTTATAATTGGTTCATAGATTTGTTTGCCAAACTTTACAAGACATTCTGTCTGTATTTTTAAAATTGGATCTGTGAGCCATTGTTGAAGAAGTATCCAATTTTCTAGGTAAGTTTTTGGTACTTTTTTTGTATTTTTAGCTTATTTAAAAACCAAGAAGTAAATTTTTTAAAATATTTCTTCTTTCTACTAATTTCCTTGCCTTCTGTAGTTCGTATAACCATCATTGCCTTAAAGGTTTTTGAAATTTAGTTAACTGAACGCCAAATAACTTAAAATACAGATCAAAAATGTATGACGATTTCATATTCATAGGATTGTCTTTGTTGCTTTCATTATAACCATTTCATAACTTCCAAATAAGATAAAGTAAATTAAAAGGATATTTTTGAGTAAAAAATCCTTTTTCGACTTTTAGTTTTCCAAACGCGGTATTTTCAAAATTTATTATCATTATATGAGCTGAAGTCCACAAGAAATTCAAAATAAATTCGATTTAATTTCCTTATTAAATAATATTACTGCACCATTTTTAGAATCAGATATATATGCCATGTTATCAGTTGTTCAGGTTAAACACTTAGTCAGATCTAATTGATATTGATTACAAGAATTAATAACAGTACGAGCAACTGTAATTCCAGAACATTGAGCTAAATCTTTAAGTTCTAACAAAGTAACCTTTGGTTCGTCAGTGATTAGATCCCAATACATAAAACATATGACGAAAACCTTGTTATTTCCATGTGTTGATTCATCTGCCATAACCCCAAAAGTAAACCATCTAGAATTTTTAACAATAAAACACTGTTGAATTAGATGAATATCTGATACATCTCGATGCCACCTAACAAGTGTACTGGCAGAAAACCATTTATCGGGCTCTTTATCTATTAACCATTCGATTACTTTTTTTGTGCAAGTTATAGCAGATCGATAAGACATTTCTCTGATTGCACAAATTTGCATAGCCATTAAAACAGTTTTAGCACACTGTTTTTTATTTTCCATAAGTCAATTTTAAACAGCTAACTTTAATTGTTTATTAGTTAGCTTAGGTGCTTTACAAGCTGCAGAACGAATTAAAAAAATTTTTTTTTATGTATTTGTTTAGATTTGCTGACTTTACCATATAATGATTTATTAACTTTCTTCAAATAATTAAGTTTTTTTTGAATATTGGGACAGTATATTGATTTTTCAATAAAATCGCAAGCCTTTTTTTGTAAATGTTTGGAGAAAATTTTTCTGACTTTAGGCCCTTTTTTGTATCTTATGAGATTTAACAGTGATATGCTGAGATTTAAACTATTATTATTCATTTTTTTTGTCATATTTAAAATGTGTTCCACATTTTTAAATAATTTGGTTTATTAAATTGTTCTTTAGCAACTTTTTCAATTATATCTATAAATGCTATAAGAATTGAATCTGGCAAGTCAATTACGTGCTCTAGAAGTTTATCAATTTTTTGCTGCCGATCAATTTCTTGAACATTATTATCAACATTTTGCTGGATATCAATTGCTTCGTCTAATAGTTGAGAATTTGTCAATATATTGATACTATTTTTATTCACACTACTATCAATTTCTATATTTAATGGTTGTGAACTTGCCGATATATTGTCACTGCTTTCGTTTGCACTACTATCAATTTGATTTTTAGAAAACTTATGCTGTTCACGTGCATTTTTCAAATGTTGACCTTCCAACTACTACGTCTTCACATACTCTGTAATCTTTTCTTCGTCTCCTTCAACAAATTAAATTTTCACAAAATTTTACTATTTCTGTTAACAAACAATTAACTGAAA